TGCCGTGTCCCCCCCGCTCGCCCGCTGTCCCCGCGTCCCCGAAGCCAGCTCCAGGCGCCCGGCCGCATCCTGCACCCGGCAGGGCTGGGGGCGCGGGGGGGCTGGGGCTCGCACCGGTGCCCGGAGGGTCCGTAGGCACCCAGTGACATCCTCGCACCGAAGCCACGCAGAGCCCAGACCTTCCTCTCCCACCGCGCTACGCGGACCCCAGGACGCCGCGTCTTAACTGATGGGGAAACTGAGGCACGGGGAGGCAGACCAGCGGCTGCATGAGCTTGCTGGTGGTCCCCAGCATCCCAGCTGCGTGCGCTGGGCACCACCGCCACCACCACGCGCGGCATCAGTGCTCGGTGGTGACCAAACAGGGCAGGGGAGACCTCCCGGTCCCTCCGCAAAGAGGTAGCAAAGGGGCTGAGTCCGGTCCCATCTGCTCCCATCTTTTTTTAGCCCCGGTGCTTCCCTGCCCTGCAGCTGCCCAGCCCCGGAGCAGGTGCTTCGGGCTGGTGATTTATCTGCACGTCAGCATCCCAGGAGCGTCTCCGAGCAGTACGCAGGCAAGGGCAGGGGAGCGGGATGGATGGTTTTCCTCCGGAGGCGGCCGAGGGATGCCAGCCCCGCGTGGATGTGCCATCCCGTGGCTGGAGAGGGCCATGGGGCTTGGGTCGCACCTTCAAGTAGGGCGGTTGAAGGATGCAGCTCCCTGATTCTTCCCCAACCTTCTCGAGATCTTCCCTCTCCAGATGTAGCACCAAGACTTCTGGTCCTCCCAGCATCTGCTCTTCTCCGGGACCTCCTGAGCCCCCCAAGCAGGGGAGGGGGAAAGCTCTGGGCTGGAGAAACCTGGAGGAAGAGTTTAACTTGACTCCAGACTTGCATCTTCATCGGTTTTTCCATCTCCCTCCTTGCAGAGCCAGGAGAAGAGCAGCTGCCCGCAGGCACAGGCCCTTCGCTCCCAGCCCTGCGGTGCCAGGGGGAGGTGCCCAGGCCAGGTGCTCCCATGCTCGAGGAGGCAGGTACTGCTGAAAGAGGAGCCTGCCTTGAATTTCCAGCAGTGCTTTGCATTCCCAACCTGCTCGTTTTTTTCCCAGAGCCTGGAGAAACCCCCGAGATCGCTAGCTCTGAGTGGTCCGGCCGGGACCCCGCATCCATCTCACACACAGTTTGCTCTGCCCACAGATTGGAAGTGCGCAGTTGGGAAGCCTTCAGCTCTCCCTCCCTTTTCCCTTCCCCTCCCCACTGGAATCCGGCTTTCGGGATCAAAAATACTACTGGCTATTTTTAAAGCGTCGACTTAGCCCCCTCTCCTCCAGCTCGCAGTGACGGATCGGGCTGTCGTAAAGTTCAGCTGTTTTCTGCTCCCTCCGCACTGAGCCCAGGACGTTAACAGCCGTGATTCCCTCCTCGCTCCTGCCCGCAGCCAAACCCACACCGGGGACCAAGATTCACGTCCAGAGGGTCTGGGGACATTTGGTGGCCCGTCCTGTGGCTGGTCGGAGTGGCATTTGCTGGGGTAAGTGGAGCACTGGGACCCTCGGCAGAGGTTTGGGGAGGGAGGGATGGGGGCTTTATGCCAAGCACGGTGTGGAAAGAAGGGTGGATGCTTTGGGTTTGAGCAGGCACTGTGCAAACGGCCCGTCTGCTGCTGTGTCTGTACCTGGAGAGAAGCGAAATCCCTTCTTCCAGCTCTCCAGCAAATCCTGCCTTCCCCAGGCCCCTCTTCCGACTCCGATCCCAACCCTGCAGCTCGGCTCTCCCCTGCAGCATCCCGGGGGATGCTGGCCGCTGTGCCGTGGTCCGGGGAGCACAGGGATGACACTCGGGGCTCGGCTCATCCCCTGCCTCCAACCTCAAGAGCCTGGCTGATCCCGCTCGCCCAGGGATGCTCGGGAAAGGCTGGCGGAGCTCTCCCTGACGGGGGCTTAGCCAAGCCGCGTTCGGGAGCAATGCTGGTGGGTGGCAGAAGGGTTTGCTCGTGTCCTCAGCTCTGGTGGAGACAGATGAGCTCCTTGGAGACCTGATGCCTCTTTAGATACGTTGTGCTGAGTTTCCCCATCCACACAGGCCATTTTGGGTGCAAACCCACCTGGGTTCGGACCGGGGCTCCTGGCAGCAGTGGGTTTGCAGACAGGGCTGATGCCAGTTCAGAGCCAGGCTGGGGCCGGTCTCCCTGAGCAAATTAAATCTCCGAAGCACTAGGGTTAAACCAAACCCTCGCCAAACTCATTGCGTTAGTGATGGGGCTAGATGGGGGCTGGAGCCGAGCTGTGACCACGCTGTCCCAACCTTTAGAGGGATGACGTTGCTCCAGATGACAATCCACGTGGGTGACGCTCACAGGCAGAGCTGCACCTTACCTGCTTTGCACCAAAAATTACGCAGCTGCCACGGTCAGGGTCTCTTCCCCCCGCCTGGGGCATTGCAGTGCTTGGGAAAGCCTCGTCTTTTCGGGCAGGAGGGTCTGGGTAACGCCAGCTGCTCTGCAGCCCCCTCAGTGGCAGGATTTGGTGACCCAGCTGGCGGGATCCGGTGCTTTGTGCCTCCTAAACCTCCAGCTGATTTTGCTGGTGAGAAGGGGGGGGGTGGGAGTTGGCTTTCGGAAGCGGTTTGATCACAGATGCTTTTGTCTTGGTACCGTGACTCTCTGCCAGCTCGGGAGAAATTCCCAGCCTCCTCAGCCCAACATATGCCTGCAGCCCCCAGCTCGGAGAGCTGCTGCGCACTGACGGCATTAAAGCAATCGATGGCTCCATTTCACGGCACGGCCAGGATCTGGCACGTCGCCAGGGAGGTGAGCCCATAACACTGAGTCTCAGGGCCGCGAGGCAGGGGAAGGACCCCACGACCCCCCGGGCTGTAGCAACCTGGATATCCCGGTTTGGTTTCTCCGTTCGAAGTTTCCCCTCCCTTGTCCAAACAAAGCGGGCGGGTGGGATGCCGAGAGGCCTCCGCTCTCGCCGAGCCCAGATGGTACCGTCTGCTGTTCCAGAAGAATTCCCACCTGCCCGCCCTGCGTGTAACCGATTCCCTCGGTGGGTGTCTGCGCCTCCCCGCGCCGGGGGCTCGCTGCGGGGAAGCCTACGGCAGCAGATGGGGAGGATACCAAGCACCCGAGGCATGGCCAGGGCGGACCTTGGGAGGCTACACTAGGATATGGGTCTTATTTTTTAAACAACATTTTTTCCACTCCCTGGTTATCCCTCGTTACCAGGTAACAGAGGCCCGGAGCATAAATACTGGGCAGGGAAAAGAGCTGCAAAGCCTCCACGCACCCCGGGAGCAAAAAACGGGCATCTAAAACCTTCCTCCTGCAGTAGCTGCTGATGTAAATCCCAGCTGGGATTTGAACCCAAGCTGGTATTTATTCTTTGTTTTCCTTTCTTCTATCCATTGGCCCCAAGGAAGATGTACTGTTACACTTAAAACAAGAGTCTGGCTGTAGATTTAAGCTGCCATAAGCAGCCGTGATCCCTCCTTTTCTCCCCAGTTCCCTGGGTGAAGAGCAGTTCAGCGGCTGCCACGACCCACCCCAGCACTGGCTGCATGGTTCATGCAGCAGGAGAGCTCACGTCGGGGTCAGAGCAGGAGAGGAGAGGGTCGGAGGGGGAAACCCTTTTCCCCCCCATCCCTAAACAACCCAAACTGGTCTAGAGGTGCAGTGCAGAAATCGGGAGCGCTTCCCCCCGGGAGGGCCGTGGCGGTACCTGGAGGGGTTTGGTTAAGCCCTGCTGCTCCCTCTGCTCTCCTGGGCTCAGGTTGGCACGAGGCTCCGGGTGCGAAGGCATCGAGGGCGCTGCAGGTCTGCGAGGCTTCGCTCCCTACCATGAAGAGCAAGACCTGGAAAACAGCAGGAATTTGGCTTAGGAGGCAGGAGGCTTTTCTGAACGGGTTCCCAAAGGGGTTTGTGGGTGCTGGGGGCACTGAGGGACCCACTTTCAATCCCTGCCCTCCAGCCGTAACTGCCAGGGATCCTAAAGGGACAGGCCACCCCTGGAAAAGCCCGATGTGGACATTTCCCCACCATTTCTCCTCCCTGCAGGAATGGGGGTTTGTGCAGCCGCTCTCTGCACCCAAGCCCTTGCAGGTGGGCATTCGGGAACCCAGCCGGCGTGGCCCGGCGTTCGTCAACCCCTGGGGACACCGGCCACCTTTGGCCCGTGCCGTATTTGTGTTCAGGACTCGGCTGTGCCCCAGGAGGGGGAAGCTACGAGAGACACGGCCGAAAAAGTATTCCCTGCAGGGATACATCCCACGGGGAAAAGCACAGTGCTTTTCCCCAGGGACTCGCTCCACAGGGGTGCAGGTGGGGGGCTGCAGTATCACCTGAGGAAGGAAAACCAGGTAGCTCCAAGGAAGCCAGCTCCCGCAGCCCGTGCTGCACCCCACGAGTGACGTGTCCCCATACCACTGAGTAGAACCACCCAGCTAGGGTGGTCTGGGGGCTCCCACCTCCTCCTCGGGCTCCTCTGCCCTCCCCTTGCCACACACCGTCTCCCTCTGCCCCCTCCGTTTGTTGTTCTTGGCTGGGGTTTAGCCTGTCTAAATTTAGGCGGATCTATTTCAACACCCATCCTCTGCCCTGGGGGGGGGGGGGGGAGGAGGGGGG